TAGTTCTCTTCCTCCACGGCTTCCCCGAACTTTGGTACACATGGCGCCACCAGATTGTAGCCTTGGCTGACCAAGGCTACCGTGCGGTGGCGCCTGATTTACGTGGCTACGGGGACACGGACGCGCCTAAGGAAGTTACGAGCTATACTTATTTTCACGTAGTGGGTGATTTGGTAGCGCTTATTGAGTCGCTAGGTGTGGAGAATGTGTTTCTAGTGGCTCATGATTGGGGTGCCATGATTGGTTGGTACTTGTGTTTGTTTAGGCCTGATTTAGTGAAGGCATATGTTTGTCTTAGTGTGCCTTTAAGGCCAAGGCATCCTAAAATGAAGCCTATTCCTACTATGAGAGCCTTCCTTGGAGATGATTACTACATGTGCAGATTTCAGGTACGTATTGTTACAGTTCCTTGCATATATGCTTCTGCTATCATGTTTTTCTTTGAATTAATATTTTGATTTACTTGAGTCGAGAGTCTTTTGAATTAATATTAAGGTCTGCATACAGTACTCTATCATTTCTGGAACTCATCTTGTGAGATTTTATTGGATTTGTTATTGCATGTATGATTAATCAAATGATATTGTAACTCACAGTGCGTACAAATAAAGGATTACACAATTAGTGAAATAGCTTTCACTCTAAGCAACATCCGTTTTTCAAAAAGAAAAATCTTGTCAAAAGCACTATACTTGATTAGAATAGGTTTTCTATCTTTTATTTTCTTCCAAAGTAAATAAATTGACTTCTACTTTTCTAGTACTTTCAACTTTTAGATTTTAAGCTTCTAAAAAATACTGATGACAAAAGAGTAGTTGAAGGAATTTGTTTGTTGTACATTATTGACTTGTTGTTTTTGAGAAAAAGCAGTACATCCAAATTAAAGGTCCTTGTTAAATATAGATATTAAAGTTAGCACTGACCTCTGTTATTGTCAAATCTGGCTATCCAATACAGTCCTCTTATTTTTATCCTCATTGGATCAAAATGGGGTCCAAATGTACTTGCAGCCCTAACGTAGAGTCATTAGTTGGTGGTACAGTCGATATTAATGATGTAACGTGCATGTGTGTGTTATAAATATCGTTTTGGCAAAAAAATAAATGTATGTAGTAAAATTTACAAGAAGTATAAGCACTAGTTACTTTTTATTAGCTAAAATCACTTATTGGTTGGCTCCTTATTATATGTAAAATGACCTAAAGTGATACGGAGAGGTGTTAGTTTAATTTGTTCGTTAACATATATAGATCAACACAGAGATTTTCTAGTAGTGTTGTTGTACTAGTACCTCATCTAAAGTAATCTGTTAGTTTAAATTACTAATTTGGAGAAAGTTGTTCATGTCCGTGGACCGTAATAGGGTATCAAGACTACAAATCAGTGCACTTAGGAATGTCTATTTGGTCTTAATTTAATTAAGTAGAGTAATTCTTAACGCACAAGATGATCCACTATATGTATATATTATAGTGTTGTTCCCTAAATACTTGAGTACTATGCTGTTTGAACTTTTATATAAATGTCAAAAAGATATGTTGTCAGTAAATTTTTCTTATCGTGCACTTAGGAATAAGAGCTTATCAGATAAAATTGACAACTAGCCAAGTGGGGTAACTGATGCTTGCTCTCTCGTCCAAATTGTCACGTGAATATGTCTTGCTATAATTGGCTGGTTGGGGAGGTTGAAACACCTACCTATATTAATGACTTTTTTGGATTCCCGCTTGCTATTTGGTTGCTCAATTAAATTTGAATTGCATACGATAGAGTTCATTTGGGGTGGCTCTTTTCTTCGTATCATATCAGTGTTCGAATGCGAGACTTCTGATTAAGAATGGAGCAGTTCCAACCAATGCACCACAACTCATTATACTACTAATTGACTTTTATATAATTTTACCGTAAAAGAGTACTTATTATAAAAATTGATACAAAGTGATTATGTTTGTTTCTCTAATGAGGGGTTAATGTAAGATTGTGATTTTGATATTAGGACCCAGGCATGGAAGATGAGATGGCCAAATACGGCAGTGAAGCAGTACTGAAAAAGATATTGATAGATAGAAAACCAGGACCACCTTGTTTACCTAAGGACAACCCCTTTGGCATTTCCACTGATGATAAGTTGCCTTTATGGCTTTCTCAAGATGATCTCAACTACTACTCTACCAAATTTGACCAAAAGGGATTCACTGGTGGACTAAACTACTACCGCGCTCTTGATTTGTACGACCCTAATTATATTCTAATTTGAATGTGATTTATATGTTTCTTATACCGTACCGTTGAATTTTGGGCAGGAACTGGGAGCTGACAGCCCCATGGACAGGGGTGAAAGTGAATGTCCCTGTGAAATTCGTTGTTGGTGATTTGGACGTGGTGTATACAACACCAGGAATGAAAGAGTATGTGCATGGAGGAGGTTTCAAGAAGGATGTGCCCATGTTGGATGATGTTGTTGTGTTGGAAGGAGCTGCCCATTTCATTAATCAAGAAAGAGCTCAAGAGACTAACTCTCACATTTATGACTTTATTAACAAGTTCTGATCTAAATGTTACTCGTTTGTTGGCTTAACTTATGATGTAGTACTGCTTTTCAATCACTTCTGGTTACTCAACTCGGCACAATGTTGGTTTTGAAGTTTTATTTGAGTGGTCACAGTTGTTATTCAACGTTTGTGGTTTCTTAAATTACAATTGTTATGCCTAGAGCACTCCCTTTCTCTAGCATGATAGATAGAAATTGAACACCCAACTCAAATGCTCAATATTGGGGATCGTGCAGGGAGAACGGAAATAGTACGTATAAAAATAAATCCTTATCGACTTATACAAGCAAAAATTCAATTAAACAATTTTTTTTATAGGTGAACAATGGACGAGAACTCTTATCACACTAGGCTAAAATGTGATATGTAGCTAGAAGTGGTAGACTAAAATCTAAGACCTATAATTTCCAACGTGCGGTATTAGTAGTTATTTTTTCAGTCATTTTGAGGGTTAGTTTCACATTTGTTTACTGAAATTTACATTGTAAATTTTGTTCCTGAAGATCTGATTATACAATAGAAGAGTCCGGAGCCAAAAGGATAACAAATTTTTTCTAAAATTCTAAAAGGGCAACAAAAAATTTTATCAAACCAAAAGAGTAACAAATTTAGATACCGTTTAAATTAGGTTTCTGTCGCAAAGCGCAGCAGCCTTGAGCCTCGTAAGCTCGGCGACATGCGTCTTACAAGGCGCAAGGTTACAGCAGCCTTTTTCAGCCGCTTTCTTTCTGTCTTTGGTAATTTCTTACTGCTTCTTCTTTATCATCATCATGAATTGTCTGAGTATTTTTTTAAAAAATTATATAGGAAAATATTTTTATTAAGTAGGCGTTTGGAGAAAATTTTCTTTTTTTAAAAAACGTATTTGAAGTTGTAGTGGAAACAACCATACGAAAGTTAAAATTGTATTTTAATATCTCAAAATTGACATTTATCTTTTATTATTTTATTTTATAATGACATAGTAATTTTGAGCTATTTATTTTATTATTTTAATCATAAACATGTTATAAAACTTAATTTGTTTTGTTATGTCAATTTTTTTTTAAAGTGATAAATTTAATTGAGTGATTTTATTGATATAAAGTTCTAAGTTGAGTGATTTTATTGATATAAATAAAAGTTCAAAGACTTTGCTAGATAAATTTCCAAAGTTTGAGTAACCTTTTGAGATATTTACTCTAAATTTAGTGGTTGAATTCATTTTCTATGAAATTTAATGCAGATAAAAATTAATGCAAATCCTACACCATAAACTTATAATATGTAAAACTCAATCAATTGTAATGTAGGTCACCACCAATATTAATCAAAAAAAAATTGAAGTCCTCCGATTATTAAAAAAAATTTGAAGTCCTCCGATTATTTTATTTTTTCTTTTGAAGTCCTCCGATTATTAAACTGTTCTTTTATTAATCTTAAAATATTATGTAATATGGTGCTAAAAAAATAATATGGCAAGTATTATTTTTTTCAAATAATCAACATAATAGTAATGTTAATGGATTCTTCTTTAAACACATCGGAACAATGTGAAACAATAATTGTGGCCTATTTCTTAGTAATATATCATATATAAATATTTCTTTATTAAATTTTTGAATAGTTATTCATTACAATGGATATGTAGACATGACATTTCAAATTAATAACATTTGGGAATGTTGATAATCTGAGAGATTATATTATAACTGACGACCGATTTTTTTTTTAAAAAAAAAAACTGCAAAACGCTTGTAAGGCGCATGTTAGCCGAGCCTTACAAGGCTCAAGGCTGCTGCGCCTTGCTGCAAAAAACCTAATTTAAACCGTGTCTAAATTTATTGTCCTTTTGATTTGATAAAAAAAATTGTTACCCTTTTAGATTTTTGAAAATTTTTGTTACCTTTTGGCTCCGAACTCTACAATAGAATGGGAAATAATAATTTATCATTCTACCACTTTGCTTGCTTATCGACAAAAGCAATTCCTAACAAACTACAGTCACCATGATTATTAAGCAAGATTTACATACACCAATGAAAATTTCGATGCAATATAACGGGACATCTGAAATTGGTATTCTACTTTTCAATTTACTATATCCATATATCAAAAAGCCGTACAAGCAATAAACCAAGTCCCTCTGCTTGTAGCTCAGTTCATTGATATCCTTGTTCGTAAATTGATTGAAAATATGCAGAACAGTAGGCAAGTACGTGGCACTGTAATTAACCCAAAGCCAAGGTATTTCAGCAAGCGGTAGTTGAATTTGGTAGCAACAAGAAGCGTAGCAGGTCTATATACCTATTGTAAAAGGGACCTTGAGGATTATACTGTTGCTTAGAAAGGGAAAGCCAAACCAACAATTGGAATCCCTACTTTTGAGCTCGCAATTCCAAACAACCCAATCCATAGAACATGAGGATGGGAAAGTAAAACTTAAGTCATATTATATGACTTTTGCTCAACGATAAACTGATGCACCACAATCATTTTTTAAACTAAAAGTTGGTTTCACAGTGAATAAAAATCAAATATCCTCAACAAGACGGGAGTAAACATAAGCAACTGCATACTAGAGTCTGCAAAAACTTGTACTGCCACGATACAAATAACAACCATTCTTAGATAAATAATAGAAATCAACTTAAACCTTGTAACCCCTGCTCTTCCTCTTTCCTCTAGCTCTCTCAAACTTTCTTCCCTTGGCACGGACATATGGTTTGGTATGGCTGTGTGGAACACCTGGAGCTGGGCCAAAGTGCTTCACTGCTTCACGTGCATTCTTAGGACCTCTGAGGAGAAGCTGCAAATCAATCAACAATATTAGCATTCAATCAAGCTGGGAATTTTTATAACTAGAAATTAAAACAGTAAAGGGAATATTATACTCTATGAAAGAAGATAAATGGGGGCACTTACCCGTTATAAAAAAAAAATTCTATCATAACCTAATTCCAAATAATAGTACTATTTCATGTTACATTAGCTTTATGCGCTTTCTATACACCATCCAATATCTCTAGTTAATTGAGAGGATATCTTTGTCCTCTTAAAATTTGCTACCATCCATAAGACTCAAAAATATACGTAACATAACAATTATTTGGAAGAAGTGTAATCCTGATACATTGAAGCACATATCCATCGATTCAGTTAGGAAAAGGCTTAAGCAGATAGGATCTTTTTCTGGTTTGCTATACGCACAGATAAAATCTTTGAAATCATGAAAAGATTTCCAAGAAGAACTAAGTGCGATAAATGAACAGCTAAGATCCTCTTAAAATTTGAAGTAATCCAGACAAAAGTATGTTTACATGTTACACTAGCTTTCTATGATTTCTAATCAGATATCTAGCCATATATTTCAGTTGGGAAAAGGCTTAAAGCACTTGATTCAAAAAAATGTAATCCCAGTACATTGAACCACAACTCCATATATTCCAGTTGGGAAAAGGCTTTAAGCAGACGGGATCTTTTCTGGTTTTCTATACGCACAGAAAAAATCTTTGTAATCATAAGAAGATTACACAGAAGAGTAATGTGCGACAAATGAACAGCTAAGGTAATCTTAAAACTTACAGACATCCAGATAATAGTACTTTTCATGTTACATTAGCATTCAATGCATTCATTTCAAATATTTAGTAAAAAAAGAGGATACGTTGTTCTCCTTAAAATCTGCAGTCATCCTGAAAGAGACTCAACAATTATACAGCATACTAATTATTTGGAAAAATGTAATCCCAATACATTGAAGCACAACTCCATATATTCAGTTGGGAAAAGGCTTAAGCAGATAGGATCTTTTATGGGTTTCTATACGCACAGATAAAATCTTTGAAATCATAAGAAGATTTCCAAGAAGATCGATGTGCAACAAATGATCAGCTGGGATCAACAAAAACATATGGTGCAATGGACAGAGAAGAAGCCACTAAAAAATAACATTCAAAATACAGAGGACGTAGCTGAATTGCTAATAAAATCAACCGATAAGAAAGAATGGCCAAACAATGTCAAATTGTCATTGGGATGACATGAAAGCACGTGTACAAGCTGAGAGAGCAAGTGTTTTACTAGATAAGACCACCACACTAAATTATACCAACTATTTCACAGGCATACTAGCCTTTAACCATGCAAAGTGACAATCCAAATAACAAAGTTCATTCTGGTATTATATTAACAAGAATCAATTACTCAATTTAACAAGTATCCATAAAAATACAATGAAAGACACAACTGATGGTCACAAACAGCAAAACATCGAAGCCACTCAAATGTGTATAGAGAATCAAGACTCACAACGAAAATGCAGCAAGATAATTAAGGGCCATTCAAGGTTTAATATCCAAATATCAAAAGCTTTTCTGTTCAGTAAATCCATGAAAAATCAAGTACTAAACAAAAGTAGTAACATCAAAGGCTGAAAAAATGGGACTTATCACCCTTTTCCAATTAAAAACAATCAACCACTTCGCCAAAAGTGAAAATATAGATACAAATCACACATAGCTAACAAAGACACCTGAAACAAAATACTGCAAGTAGCAAAGAACTATAAGGATCTGATTCAATACCGTGTTCTGTCCAAGTGGAGCCCTGAGAGCCAACTGATCGAATGTCAAGCATTCACCACCAGCCTTCTCAATCCTTGCCCTGGCTGTCTTTGTGAACTTCAAAGCACACACCTTCAATTTTGGAACTTCATAAGCCCTAACATCGTCGGTAACAGTACCCACAAGGACAACAGTCTTATCGCCCTGATAAACAAATATCAAAACCATCACTTCAACCGCAAACAAAATCACATATACATCTAAATCAACAAAACAAAACACAAAAAAAGCCCCAAACAATATACCTTTCCTTCGGCATAAGAAATCAACCTCGAGAGAGAGAGTGGAGGCTTGTTAATCTTGCTCATGAAGAGCCTCTTAAGAATCACCGCATTGAACTTGCTTCCGGTCCTCCTTGCCAAGAATCGGTAAAGCTATTAACGCACATCAAACAACAAAGTTTAAGCCATCAAACAACTTGAAAATTACATAAAGAAAACAAACTTCACTCAAATTGAATCTATATATACCTTGACGAGGAGCTTGAGGTAAACATCGTCAGACTTAGGAGCGGTACGCTTAGTCTTCTTACTCTTACCTCCGGCCTTCAGATCGATACCCATGGCTGGTTGGACTCAGCTGAGAGAGATGGAGAAATGGCTGCAAGAGGCGCCTCTTATATTAATATATGAAGTGAAATGAGGAGGCTAGGGTTTTTAGAGAGGTTTGTGTTGCCCTTGTGTTTTGTGTGGTTGAGGTCTACAATAAACTCTTATGCACCTTACTTAGATGTTCGACACGTCTTCATTTACTATGATGCATCTCTTCTTCCTCTCTAGGAGTTAGGGTTTTGTTTTAGAGCCCTCATTTTAATATTTAACCCCTTTTAACCTTAATCCATTTTATTATTACACCCATTAATAAACATCCAAATTAGATTTGGAGGAGAAAATTAGTATAATGTAGAGTGCCACTTGACATTGTTTAAAAAACTATTATGTAGCATATATCGCACAAACAATTAATTATTGACATGTCTTGATTCAAAGAGAGTGATAATTTAGACAACTTAAAAAAATAATAGATCAAATTGAGTAATGAGCCAGGGCAAAGCTAGAAAGGGCTGAAGGGTTCATCCGAACCCCCTTCGTTAGAAATTATATCATTTATATATGATTAAAATTATTATTTTTATGTGTATATAGTAGATGTTGAACCTCCTTTTGATTCACGAAAAAGTGATATATTAAGTACTCCCTTCGTCCAACAATCCACTATACTATTTTGGTATGTCCAACAATACTTATCTACTTTATGAAAAGGCATAATACATAAATGTGTCATTAAACTTGGTCTCATTTCACATCTATACCCTCTAACTTTGGATATGTACAAGTAAACACTTAAACTTGTGTAAAGTTAAGCAAGTAGGCACATGAGTACTACGTGGCACAATACACGTAGGACAAAAAATGACATGTAGGATGCCATGTAGGACATGTGTATCTATATGTTCAACTTTATACAAGTTTAACTATCTACTTGTGCACACTCAAAGTTGAAAGACATAAATGTGATTTGAAACCAAGTTAAAGTGCATATTTATGTATTATGCCTTATGAAATCAATGGATAATTTTATATTTAGTTCATAATTTACCTTATCATAAATTATAGTCATTTTCCTATTACATTTTTCAAGACATTGTATTTATTATATTCAAAGAGTAATATAGTAAAAACGTAATGCTAAATGACCAAAATTTGGCCAGAAATTTAAGAAATGTGCAAATTCAATAGTGGACATTGGATGGAGGGAGTATATTTTTTACCATTATGTTTAATATCTTCTCACTTTTCCATGTTTGATTTAGAAGGATGTGACTTCTTTTGAAAACAATGCAGTTGGATTGACAATTAGTATTTTTAATCTTTATTTGTTTGTCAGTTCTTAATATGCAAAAAAATGAAAGAGAATAAAGCATTTTAATTATTTTATTTTCCTACACTCCTTGCTCATACTGAAAATTTTGAAGGAACACTTATTTCTTCCAATAAATATCACTTTAGGTTTATAAATTTCCTGATCTCATCCCGTTTCCAAGTTCATAATAACCACATGATCAGAACAAGCAATTCTTGTAAAAAAAAAAAAAAGTTAATTAACAACCCCCTTTGACAAATATTTACAATGTGTAACTAGATTATATGTTTATGCTAATTTTCATTGGCCTTTTCTTTGTCCCGCAGCAGCTACCCTTTGGGTGCGCACAGGGTAAAACCCCCGCTCCTATGCAATAGCTCGCAAACCACATAAAAGAGGTAACCCGCACTAGACAAACTCGGTGCGATGAACTCGACCCAGAAGGCAAACCCCTTGCTTTCGCTGGCAAGGGTTTCAAACTTGAAACCTCCAACATGAAAGTCCCAAGCCCAAACTACTGGGCCACCCCGAAGGGTTTTTCATTGGCCTTTTTATATATTTAATTGTTATATTTTGATTCTCTAAAGTTAAATTCAGACACAAACACCTTCCTTTGATCACCTCTGATCGAACGGATAAAGAAAATTTGTAGTTCCAAACTAATAATCATAAATTGTATAAATCCCCTAGAAACTTGGCTCTCCTTCATTAAATTTAAAAAGGAAATTTTGTTCAGCTTGGTCACTAACATCTGGAGAAATGAAATAACAGCTGCATAAAGAAGAGCAAGTCTTTGCTATTTGCAGCAGGTAAACATTGTCCATCTAGTAAAGATGGCATTTAAAGCTCAATCCAGTCGCTCCATCTGTCAACAAGAAAACAGATAATGAAAAAGCTTTCACATCACTTACAAATGCAAAGATTAGTCATGATTCAATCAACAAACAGAATGCCCTAGTTATAAACCATAAGGAAACAAAATTCACTGCTCGAACAGGAGTCGTGACAAGATAGTGAGTACCTTCCAGAGGCCATCATTAAGATAATGCATGTTATCCACACCAATTCCTTTGTTGATTGCCTTTCTGCAAAGTTGGACATGATTTTTCAGGTGTTGAAACAACAGAGGTGTATACATCTCAAACGTGAGAAACATAAATGACAGAAGTCGAAAAACTGGTTCTCGGAGTAGAAAGTAGGCAAGATTGTCCGTGCCAAAGTTTGAAAAAATCATTTGGTACTCCCCATAACATAAAGTGTCTTTTCCACACATACAGAGGATGAAGATTCCACACATACAGAGGGTTGGAGACAGATTGGGTAATATAATCAAGAAAATCTACCAGTCCTCATGAGAAAACTCTTTTTCTCAAATCTGAGAAAAGGAACAATCAGAGAAGTTGAACGAAAACAAGATCATCAGTGCCAAAGTTTGAACATGTAATCTAATACTTCTGACCAGAAGTGTGTCTCACAAGAGAAGGACAATCCAATATGCAGTCCACTGTAAATATACCAAAACCTAAATGACAGTTTGTAAGAGATAAAATGATGATCAGCTTCAAAGGCCATTCATAATCTTAAATAAATAAATATTTTTGAAAAATCAAAGGCCATTAATCTTCAGAAAAAGTATAAAATACTTCTTGATGTTTAGTTCTCTGCATCAGCTCTCTAGGGTACGGAGAAATCTACCATCTCCCTTATAATTATGGAAACCCACTGCTCAACCGTAACTATTACCTTGATCCCATTGTTAATCGGGATAAATGTTACAGCATGGATCCTTCCACCAACTCTAAGCTGATATTTACCACTAATTATATCCAAAGAAGCCTCAAAATATATTTCTTCCCTCCCCCTTTGATCTTGGCCAACACGGCAGTCATCTTCCCTACCCAGAACTTGCCAGAATATCCACCTCTTGAAGCGGATGGAATGCTATTGACAGCATCCATCCTTACTTTCATACTATTTGTGTCTCTCACCTTGTACATAATTTATGCACACACAAAAAACATTCCGAGACAAATACACTATATTGATGCCCAACACAAATACTCACAATGTTGACAACTCACTATACAGAAACTGACAAAATTATTCAAGGTCAAGGAAAGAAATATATGTATTTTTAATGTTAGAAGGTGTCATCAGCCGATTACCTTGACACAAAGAGGTCACATGTTAAGTTCAAATAGAAACGTATTGCTCAGGACAATTGAGGCAATAAATTGTTATGGATAATTCACATTTAGGGAGATTAAACAATCTAGATAAAGGAAGGGCAGAACATATTTAACCTAAAAGGTAAACATCTCAGTTCTATCACACAGAACCGGAGGGGCATGTTTTAGCATACAAACGAAACAGAAGCCGAGCAAATATTTACATAGCAACTCACATATCCTTTGCCGACATCTTTGTAAAGCCAATAGCTAGAGCATGTTGCTTCCCTTCAGCCATAATAGCCTAAAAACAAAATGCCGCACATTAAAATTCCACAAGAAAGTTGTAGCAACGACAACTAATAATATTATAGCATAAGATTGCCCTTATTCATACCACGGGAGTTTCTGCTCCCACTTCAACATCCAAAGCACCCCCAGGAGAAGTAAGACCTGGACACATTATGTTGGCTCCAGAGAGGACAAATTTAATTGCGCCCCTATCAACTTGTAGTTTTTTCATTATATTTGGATCTGTACAATTGGAAAGAAGAAGGTTATACAGAGCATTGATATCACAGAGTAAATCAAATCATCAACAGATGAAAAAAATAAAGTTCATCAATGGCATACATTGAAAAGTACCAAATCACAACCATTTGCGTGCTCATACATATGTGTATGACGATGAGTCATTCAGAAACCTGCTCGCTCCATCTCAAAACTGAATAATTTTTTCACTTGATTAAAACAATATTGTATGTTTTCTTTCATGCGCGTACTTACAAGGAGCAAGACCCAATTAACTGAATGAAAGATGCACCATTGAGATTTAGAGTACCCACATCATCTCCAAACTCAACCTCAAGATGCACCATTAGTCCCTCTCAAGAAATCAATGACCTCAACATGGTAACTTATTTTCCTAGATTCAATTTTAAACCAGATTGCCTATCAGTCTATTAGAAGTAAACAAATGCTTGATCACTTGACTGTGACAGCTAATTTCATTGAATTAAGCAGGTGTATCTTCTTTAATTTAATATTCAGTCAACTAATTAATGTTATGGGGAACTGGTATAGTACACACGCTTGAATAGCACTACTAGTTATGCTGTTATGCATATCAAAGGAAAAGAAAAATAAGGCACTAAGATATCAAGTGCCTTCTAATCAGTTTCCTGATGTGAACCATATATCCTTTTAATTATTGCTTGGTTATTTATTTTCATATGCTAATCAGCAGCATTCAGCTGGCGCGAATTATTTGTTGCATAGGTCAAAGCCATTCCATTTTTAAGCATGATCTATATCATCGTGTTTGGTTCATGTTCAATTAGAATCTCCAAAAACTCCATAGATGAGAAGTCCACTATCTTTCTTTACATTCTTCAGATTTCTTATGAAGCTATTGTTTTTACTCACAGCCCACAAGGGCCAACATGGCTGCATATTGAGGGAAATACATACTGCCAACAAAAAATGTCCTAGTAGTGACCCAACTCTAACCAGCCCAATTTTTTGAAGTGATTTCACTGGTAAAAGACCTATCAAAGTAAAACAATGGAAGGTTGAAAAAGGCACGCCACAACACTCAGAAAGA